CATTCGTGAGGGATGGCCTGAACCTTGGCAAGAATGGTTACACGGTCAACGTGAGCGCCATCATCTCGGCCATCGACCCGAACAAATGCGACACACCCCTGCTGGATTGGTGCCTTCGGAAAGGGCACTGGTTGCCAGAGGACTACAACAAGAAGTGTGTCCGGGCACGAGAAGCCCAGAAGAACTTGGACGAGGAGTTCCGCCGACGTACCCATAGGCTGTCCATTGGGGACAGGTATGCTTCGTGAAGATGCTGATTGCGGTACGATGTGGGTCAGTCCCCATCTGTTACTTGCGTCACATCGACACTGTTTCGGTGGAACGACTTATGTCATGATTTATATTCATGTGTCCAAGATGATTGGGTGTGTACATGGTTACATATTCCGATGACTATGACGCTCTGGATATTCATGGATGGAACTATTACCTTATAGATGATATCTTTTCATTATTTATGCATTGTCCATGGTATCTGGAATGGCTATGATTTGCATTGATTACTCACCGATGTTTCTTTGCCGGAAATATGCAGACCGATTACAAGCAGGCGCCTCTGGTGGACTTTTGCGGCCAACCCATTTATGGATGACAGCTGCGCGATGCGCAAATGCGGCAGCTGGATTGTTCGTTGGTGGTCAAATGACGTGACGATTGTGTATTATATACACCTGCATATGGATGTGTGCTTCGATTGGAGGATGAATGTTTCACTTTTCGTACAATCGAACCCGGCATGTTTCACAGCGAATGAACGGTGTAGTGATAGCAAGTAAAAGAATGCACGACACGATTTCGTAGTTGAAGCCGTGGCCAGTGGAACGTTTTGTGGTGTTTGGACCGCATGATGAACAATGCGACCCAAATGGGGGATGTTAAAACCCTCTAGGCCCCGTGCCGAAATTGGGTAGCTGTTCTGAGGTCCTTGTTGGTGTTGCTTCCCAAGTTCCATTGATCGCCATTTGGCTCAAGACACAATTGAGGTTCAAGATCTGATGTGTGACTGCATACATACGTGATCGGCATTGAGAGCGAAAACACTTTGCTTGCGCTGCATTTGTCAGGACCACTGTTGTAACTATCATTCCTTCTCCCTTACAACGTTTACACGGGTTCGGCTATAACGGCATCGTCCGTATACACCTTTCTACGTGGTTGGTATTACAGCTTGAGGGTTCGGTGCATAGCGTCCCACGGGACGTCACCTTGCCGTCTCTTGACAGTGGTGTTAGTGTTGTTAGTGTTGTTAGTGTTGTTGTGGTTGGTGGTTGGTGGTTGGTGGTTGGTGGGTGGTGGGTGGTGGGTGGTGGGTTGGTGTTGTTGTTGTTGTTGTTGTTGTTGTTGTTGTTGTTGTCTGGTTGGTGGTTGGTGGTTGGTGGTTGCTGGTTGGTGGTTGGTGTGTGTTGTGTGTTGTTTGTTGTTTGTTGTTTGTTTTTTGTTGCTGCTGCTGTTGATGTTGTTCTTGTTGTTGTGGTTGTTACTGTTGTTGGTGGTGGTGTTGTGTTCTTTTTGTTCTGTGTTAATGTGGTTGCTTTCGTTCTTGCTGTTGTTAATTTTGATGCTGCGGTAGCTGTTGCCGTTGCTGTGTCTGTTGCTGCTGCTGTTTTTTTGTGCTGCTGCTGTGGTTGTTTGTTGCTGCTGTTGTTGCTACTGTTGCTGTCATTGTGGCTGCTGCTGTTGGTGTTGGTCTTGTTGTGAGTATTGCTCTTGTTGTTGTTGTGGTTGTTGTTGTCGTCGTTGTTGTTGTTGCCGGTGTCGTGTTGTTGGTGTTCATGTTGGTGTTGTTGTCGGTGTTGGTGTTTTTGGTGCTGGTACTGTTGTTTTGTGTTATTGTGTTTGCTGTTGTTTTCGCTGTTGTTAATACTGTTGTTGATGTCGGTGTTAGGGTTGGGGTTATCGTGTGTGTGTGTTGATCTGCTTGTTTGTTGGGGTGTCTTTGTTTATGTTGGCGGCGGTGTTAGGTTTTGGTGTTGGTGGTGGTTGTTGGTGTTGGTGTTGGTATGGTCGTCGGCTTCGGGGTTGTCCTTTTTTTGCTGGAGTAGCTGCGGGTTTGTTTAGTAGTGCGTGAGCACCGCTCTGATACACGATGGGCATGTGACCATGTGAGTGCCCGACAAAACTGCCGACAATGGACTTAAAGCAAAACTGGACTTCGGTTTTTGCAAAACATCTAAAACATGCATAACCGATAGGGGGACGCCCCAAAAACCGATACCCCTAAGCACGATACCTTACATCTTGGGAGGGGAAATGCTTGGCACACGCTTGCTACCAAGTCCATTTTTCCACCAAACGACACCACGGTCCAACCGATACCCCAACCGATGCCCAACCAATACCCCAACCGACGCCCTGACCGGTTGAATGTGAACACTCGCCCATTGGCCATGAAAGCATATTTGTTTCGCGTTGCCGCAGCAACTAGATATCGTGCCGCAGTGTGCTGTTCCAAGCGCCAGTGGCAAGAAGCGCAAGCGTGCATTTGCACGAGTCTTTGGCTGAAACTGGCCCGAAGCAGCGCGTGAGGCACGTGAACACGCTGGAGTTGCGGAAGTCTCCAACCTGGGGCCTGAAACGACTAAAAATAAATGGTTGCTTTGTCGACTCACTTCGCCCGAAACTGGCCGGACCAGGGTGGCTGACAGGAAAGCAGCAGAACCTGCATGGCAGGGATGTACTCACAGCCGGCAAAATGACTTGCAGCCCAGCCTAAGCAAGAATAGTAAGTCCATATGACAAATTAAGAGCACAACAAAAGAAGCGGGAAACCTCAGTTTGTCGCCATGTGTTTGCCAATATGGATGACGCGCATAGGTTCCTTCGGTGTGGGAACCAAAGATTCTTCAATTCTAAAACTGCGAACCGAAAATAAACATATTTGGTAAAAGGCCCATGCAAAGTGTCTTCTTCAATGCTCGCATGCAAAAGTCATGCCAACGTTGCACTGAAATAGTGAACCGCGGGCTTGTACCCAAAATGAGCGAATTTACTGTTGTCCCAAAACCCGCGGCTTAGAAAACACGTACTTTGGGACACCACCAAAAAAAACAACAACACCGATTGCAGTCAGCTGTACTTAAGTAGGACAGTTTCGACTTTTAGATTCTGGATGTTGAAAGGGTCCCATGCATAAAGTAAAAAGCTGCCCTTTTTCGATTGGTACAGATGCATACCTGAACGCTGCGTATTCGAAGAACGTATTTCGATCGAACCATCCTGGGTCTGTCGCATTAGAGCTCAGGTTGATTGGCCAATCACCGTTTTTGTTGGTCGAAATTGATTTTTGAAACAACTGTTCTTACCCGTGCAACGCCCATTCTTACCCGTGCAACGCCCATTCTTACCCATGCAAACGACCAGATTCAAAAAGCCGCGTTTTTTTCGGATCTCAAATTGTGTTTGATCGGCATCGAATTCAATTTTGCCCGGTCGCTTTCGAAACGTAGCTTTCGAAAAACATATTCGAAATAGGCTTTCAAAAAGGGCTTTCAAAAAGGGGGGGCTTTCGAAGGCGGGCGCTAAGAAGGTTTCGAAAGGCGGCTTTCGAAAGGGGTGTTTGAAAGTGCGAAATAGGCTTTCAAAGGGGTCTTTCAAATGGAGGCTTTTGAAAGAGGGGGTTTGAAAGCGGCTTTCGAAAGGTTGCTTTCGAAAAGGGGTTCCAAAGAGGTTTGTTCGATGTTTCCGAAAAGGAGCTTTCGAACAATATGTTGCCTTCGAAGCATTATTCGAGAGCAGGCTGCGTATCAAATGGCAGAACTGATTGCGTGCGAGGAAAAAGGCCAAGAGAGCTTCACATCAAAGAGCTTTGAATTGGACAATTGTTGGATCAGTCGAACCCTGGTACGCTTTCGAAAGCTGGCATGCGCCATCGATCATGGGTTCCTAGACTTTTAAAACAACTGGACGCAGTAGGAAAGCTTTTGCGTTATTCTTTGAGCGTTCGCAGAAAAGGGGCTGCGGCTGAAGTGCCGCACAAAATCTTGAAACTTAATTCAGTCATCCGACTCTCCTGAAACGGCCGTGTTTGGAGCAAACGGCCGTTCTCACATGTCCCACCTCTGGACGACTATTTAGATTTGGTCTTTTGGGGTTCCAGGAATGTACTGCAGCTGCGGAAGTGTACTTCGTATACTACACTCGTACTATAAGGTTTCGATTTTCGAGCTGGAGCTACGGAAGTGTACTTCGCGTAGTGCACTTGTACTACAAAGTTTGGATTTTCGAGCTGGAGCAGCGGAAGTGCACTTCGCGCACTACAAAGGGTGGATTTTCGAGCTGGAGCTGTGGAAGTGTACTTCGCGTACTACACTTGTACTACAAAGTTGGGATTTTCGAGCTGGAGCTGCGGAAATGTACTTCGCGTGATACACTTGCACTACACTTCTCATTCTCCTTCTCCTTATTCTTCTTTCTTGTTTCCCCACCTCTGGCCTTTGCACCGCTTTCTTTTCCATGTTAGCGTTCGCTTGCGGACCATGCGCAGTGCAAAACACTGAGCCCTTGTTCGCCTCCCCATGACGTATTGGACTGTGTGGTGGTTCAGACCGCTCCAACATGTTGCTGCCACACCAACCCAAGCAAACTCGAAGAAGGATCTATGTTAAACGCAGCGGGGTACTAGCGGAAGAAATAGGAATTTGAGGCAGGCCAGCCGGAACCCGCAAGACAACTTTGAAGGGGGTCCGGTGACATGTCCTGACACATCAACGTGGGAAAGGCAAGAGGGGGTTAGGGGGTGTTCTGCTGCTTGAATGTTCAGCAAGGTTATTGTCTTGTAACAATGGAGGTAACTGGTGTAAGTAGGCCTGGTCCCTCAACTTGTAGCCATGTAAATACCAGCGAAGTGGCTTGAATACCGAAGTGAACCAGATAGTCCCGTTTGGACTTCTTTTTTTTTGACGACACTTTTAGGATTATCCAAAAGTGCAGGTTTCCTGGTTTCCTCTTGAAGGGCCGACCGGGTCCCCAGAAGCGGGGGGCGCTCCCTTTCGTATTCGGCCAGGCGGGAGACGCGCAATTTTTGATGCAGGCCACATTTGGGCCCTCGAAAGAGGCGCTGACGGAGCTGGCGACTGCTTCCTCCTACGAGGCCCAGTTCGCGGGCGATTGTGTTGTTGGTTCTCCGATTTTGCACTTTGACTTGACAGGTGGTTTGGCCCGTTATTTATAGGCTTTCATCCGTTCAAATCTTCATGATTTATTAGGTATTCTTAGAGTGTTCATTGAAATGCTGGGCAAAAATCAATGTGGCACCAGACAGGTGGCTTGTCCCATGATTCATGGAGCTTCATCGAATCCAACTGGCGCGAAGTAGGTTTTGTCACAGTGAGGGGCCCAGGTTGCAATTTTGTTGACACCGGATTCATAAACCTATCCGACTACTAGGGGGAGGGGGGGGTTGGGCCCCAGAAAAGTGAAGGAGTTCCCGCTAAAAGGGGACACCCCCATGAATCAACCGGCGTCTTCATCCGGGTTCGAGATTAAAGCGAGGGGCGGCAAGGAGTGGCTCCAGCAGCAGATGGATCTGGAGCCGAGTTTGCTGCGGAAGTTTTATCGGTCCCGCGCCAATCCCACAGACAAAGGCGCGGTCTGTTCATGCGGCATGCTGGTCATCTCGCTGGACTTAGAACGTGTTGGGACAAAATGTCAATGCAAACAGGAAGTTCGCACTTTGGCGAAATCACTCAAGAACTGAGTCAGGGACTTTTTGCCACGTTGTGTGCGTTGCGGTGCTTGTGTTTTCCCTTTGGCCTCCATGGCCCCCAAAGGTTCACAAAGCCAACCCAGATGAGCCTATTCGCTTAGCCCCTTCCAAAAAGGCTTCTTTCTTAAGTGGTTGAATCACCCTGCAAATTCACGTAACCCATCCATCATAGGAGGATTTTCCGAAAACGGTCCCGCTTTGGGCTTCACGTGAATTGGATTTGGACCTTCTCGTGTTTTGCTCCGACACTTTTTGTTGGGACCTCTTTGTTTGTCTTGATCCGTTTTGTTTGGGGGAGAAACGCCACTCCAGATCCATGGCTTGCAATCCGCGCTGGGCCTTTGCCAATGGCAGGATCTCCGGGCAAGAGCGGCGTACCTCGGACGCCCTGCGAAGCAGGCAAGTTGGGAACCAAATCGGAGGCAAGGGAGGCGAACCCCAGCAATTCTCCACCTGCGGAAGTGTCGCATGGCGGATATCCGGATCACTCCCTCCGAAAGGTGCGGGGCGTCAGGAATACCAGCCTGGTTTCTTTCTCTTTCTGTGCAACAACCTACCCCTGGAAAAAAATGGTCCTGGTGGAACCCTTGAGGTTGGCTCAAAACTGTCCTGCCTTTTTGGAGGAATTTGTTCATAAAAACCAGGCACTGGTTTCAGGTTGGCTCCGGCGAAGCCATCCCACCCCTTCTTCGCGAGGCGCCAGAGCAAGCATCTTAGTGGAACCAAATGAATATTGCACTGCTCAACTTTTCTTGCGGGCCCATTTGAGTGGCATCTTTTTGAATTTCAGGGACGATTGGCATCATCAACCGACAAAAGGCGGGATGTGGCGGCTACCTTGGTTTGCTTGGAGTCCAGTTGCCGAACTATACTGCTCCCATCCCCGACCACATGGTATCGAGAGGAGCTGTGGGTTTTCTGTGTTTCTTGCTTGCAGCATTTAGGGAATCTTGTCAATGACCCTCCGTGGCTAGTGACAAAGTTCCTGGCAAACGGAGTGGTAGGGGAGTCGTATTTCAGCCCTTGAACCTTGATTCGCATATTTGAAGCAAGGAGGATCTGGGCCAACGCTTGGCCCTGCAACCGTAAATAGCTCCCCGAAGCTGACACAACTCTGGTCAGGTTCCATGTTAATGGGAGCGGCCTCACTTGGCTGCTATCTGGTTGGATCGTGGACCTCGCAAACTTGTGAGGAATAAATGTGGTTTCTTTCTAGCCAGCAACAAGCAGTTGTTGTTTGCGCAGGCGGTAATGGACAAACAGATTTGAGAGTTGTTCAGAAAGGGGATGTCTTTATTTCGGACCCTTTTGGGTTCCCTTAAGCCACCAAGGTATTTTCGCGGACATGGGCTTGCCCCAAAATCCAGGTGATGGCGCAATTCCTATGGCAAGGGGATGAACCCAAAAGGGAAGACAGCTGCCGCACTTTAACCCGACTGACGTTTGACTGCGCTGGGTATGTGACAAAGGGCTTTCGCGCAGAAATTTGTATATCTATCTATATGACCATATTAGAATATATATTATATATATGTATATATCTACATATTTGCAACATTTTAGACAGATCAAAGCAACAAGCTTGCACCACAGCGGACGTGACACACATTTGAAGTGAACTCGGGGTAGCGAGCCACACAAAACATGCGCAAACCTATGTGCCCCCTGAAACCAGTGTCGTAAGAAAAGGTTGCATAATCCATAAACCTTGCCCCATTTGAACGAATTTGACCATTGTGTCACTGCATGGACCCAGTAGATTACATGCCCTTGAAAATGCATACCCCAGGACGATCATTTTAGCCAATAAGTGTATATTTTTCCTGGCCAATCCACTCGGGTGAGACGCACGTTTGAAGCGTTTCAATGCTGATTCAGAGCCATAGCACGGGGAGCGTCCTTCTTTTGACAATGCCCCTTTTGCTTTGGCTAAAAAGAAACGAAGAAAACCAAAATCCATTTCGGGGGTCCAACCTTGGTCTAGTGTCAGGCTCCCGCTGGTCCAACGTCGCCTTGGACCATCGCGACGTGGGGCGCGCAGTGGCCTCCACCGGCACTGCGATTTACGTGGACGGGGAGCTGCGAACGCAGCTGGACCCCGGCTACGCGAAGAACGGCGCCCCGGAAATGGTCTTTGAGTCTTTGAGGGTACCTGGGTATTCAGCCAAGGTGTTGAAAACTGAGGTGAGAACGCACTTTTAAGGGCAAACAGGAGCAGCAGAAAAGAGATCCCCGTTGACAGTCTCTCCCGCCTCAACGCCTCGACTTGTTTTGGTTGACACGCAGGCCGGATCGAAATGAGACTCTTTGGTGGATCTATGGTGTGTTTGAGTGTGGGTGCGCGTGCGCTTGCGCGTGCGTGTGCGTGTGCTTCTGCGTGTACTTGCTTAGGCGTGTGCCTGTGCGTGCTCAGGCGTGTGTGCGTGCGCGTTTGCGTGCTCAAGCGTGTGTGCGTGTGCGTGTGCGTGTGGGGGTGGGGGTGGGGGTGGGGGTGGGGGAGGGGTGGGTGTATGCCTGTGCCTGTGCCTGTGCCTGTGTCTGTGCGTGTGCGTGTGCCTGTGCCTGTGCCTGTGCCTGTCCCTGTGCCTGTGCCTGTGCCTGTGCCTGTGTCTGTGTCTGTGTTTGTGCGCGTGCGCGTGCGCGTGCACGTGCGCGTGTGCGTGTGCCTGTGCCTGTGCCTGTGCCTGTGTTTGTGTCTGTGCGCGTGCGCGAGTGCGTGCGTGCGTGCGTGCGTGCATGCGTGTGTGTCTGTGTGTCTGTGTGTTTGTGTGTCTGTGTGTGTGTGTGTCTGTGTGTGTTTGTGTGTGTCTGTGTGTGTGTCTGTGTGTGTGTGTGTGTCTGTCTATGTCTCTGTGTGTCTCTGTGTGTCTCTGTGTGTCTCTGTGTGTCTGTGCGTGTCTGTGTGTATCTGTGCGTGTCTGCGCGTGTCTGTGAGGGCCTGTGTGTGTGTGTGTCGGTGTGTGTCGGTGTGTGTCTGTGTGTGTCTGTGTGTGTCTCTGTGTGTGTCTGTGTGTGTCTGTGTGTGTCTGTGTGTGTCTGTGTGTGTTAGTTTTTGTGTTTGTCTTTGCCTTTGTCTTGGTGTGGGTGTTTGTGTTTGTGTTTTTTTGTGTTTGTGTGTGTGGTGGTGTTTGTGTTTGTGTTTGCTGTGGTGGGGGTTGGGGTTGGGGTGGGGGTTGTGTTGGTGTTGCTGTTGGCGTTGATTTGGTGTTGGTGTTGGTGTTGGTGTTGGTGTTGGTGTTGCTGTTTGTGTGTGTGTTTGTGTTTTTGTGTGTGTGTTTGTCTGTAGTTCCGCCTGGACGTAAACGCACCGTGCTTTCATATGGCATTCCACATATATCGCGGGTCTGGGCGAACGCGGGTTTTTCACCAAACGTGCACACGCTCAGCACTCGCTCAAGTGCATCCGCTCAGCGCCGCACATATGGTACGAACACCCGCTCACGTGCACCCGCTCAGCACCGCACATATGGTACGAGCACTCGCTCAAGTGCACCCGCTCAGCACCGCACATATGGCACGAACACCCGCTCAAGTGCACCCGCTCAGCACCGCACATATGGTACGAACACCCGCTCACGTCACCCGCTCAGAACCGCACACACGCCTAAGAACACCCGCCCCAGTGCACACGCTCACACCGCACACACGCCTAAGAGCACCCGCCCAAGTGCACCCGCTCAGCACTGCACACATGCGCCCATGCAAGGCTTGATACGTATGATACAGCCCCCTGCGCATTGCGTCCCAAAGTGACAGTCTTGCTTGCTCGTTTGGGGCTGGTGTTGTTGTAGCTGCTATACCTACTTTCTCTCATTCATTCTGTTCATTCTGACCGCCACGTTACTGAAATGCCTAGGCGCCAGGGCCTTTTTCGATCCACATTGGTCAACTGCACCAGCGTGTGGCCGGAAGTCAAGTGCACTTTTTGTTGGCCTGCGCGAGACATGTGAAGCGCGTGGTGTTGCATTGTCTTGAGCGCGCGCGCTTACGTGACGGTGTGTTTGTTTGCGTGTGTCTTTCTGTGTGTGTCTGTCTCTGTGTGTGTCTGTGTGTGTCTCTGTCTCTGTGTGTGCGCGTGTGTCTCTGTACGTGTGTGTGTGTGTGTGTCTGTGTGTGTGTGTGTCTGTGTGTGTGTGGTTGTGTCTGCATGTCTGTTGTTGCCTGTGTGTGCGCATTTCTGTTTGTATGTGTCTTTGTCTGTGTGTGTGTGTCTGTCTCCTCTGTGCGTGTGTGTCTGTGGTTGCCTGTGTGTGTTTGTGTGCATTTCTGTGTGTATGTGTCTTTGTCTGTCTGTGT